AAAAAAAAAAAACCTATAAGTTGCTTATCATACTAATAATAATAATCCAACTTTTACCTGGTATTGAAGGTTTTAAATGAAAATGTCGAAATTTCAATTTCGTAGAAATGTCAATAGAAATATTGATAAAATATTGATGTCGATGATATTTTTATAAAATATATAAAAGTAAAAAACTCGAAAAAATATTTAAATTAATAAATAATCGTTTCATTATTTCTAAATAAGTAAAAAATGATTAATATTAATATTACGTCTATATTATAGAAAATTTGTTGATATTTTTCATATTTTATCGATTTTTTTATAATATTATAGAAATGTCGATTTATCTAGATCGAACCTATGGATACATGGACATGTCAATAGTATTTAATACCATGTTTGTACCAACATTTTTCTCATATGAAAAGGTTTTCTTTGCAATAATGAATATTTTATGGGAGTAAAATTGCATAATCAGCATATTTAAGTAGATTTGCATAATCTCTTCCATTATTTCCCCTTTTTGATGAGTAGTTTTGCATAATCTTTCTTATTCTTTTTCTATATATATATATATATATATATATATATATATATATATATATATAAATAAAGTAAGAAGGTGCATTCACATATATATATATAGTATAAAATCAACCAATATTTTTAAACATAGCAAAAAGTTTGAAATTCTACAAAAAAATAAAACAATCCAAATCCAATTGCATAATATAAAATACAATAAGAAAATCCACGCTTTCTATATTTGAAAATTTAAAAAATTTATAACATATCAAAATTTTGCCTATCCAAATGAAATTTCTCTAAAAAATACCTCTAATTTTTTCTTCATATTTCCTTCCATAAATCTCTCTCTAAGCTATCTCTCTTGATTTATATATGGCATCCACAGAAACTAAGCAAATTCTGTTCCTCAATCCTCACAAATTTCAATTTTCCATGGAAAATCTCTCTCTCTCTCTACATTTATGTTGTCACTGGTAAGATTATTTGGAGCTCAATCAGTTCCAATGGCGAAAGATCAACAGTCATCTTCTCCAGTAAGCCTTCTGTCGGTTCTATTTCCAGCATTCTTCTCCTTCCTTGTTTATACATCTTCTGCAATTTTATCTGCAGATTTGCACCATAAAAATGGACATCAAATGCTGTCAAAAGTGCCCTCTTAAACTACAGATGAAGCTCCTCAAATCAAATGGTATGTTAGCAGGAAAAAAAAAACCTCTGCACTCTTCATCATTTTCACCTCAATATAGCTTCTTTTATTTACCCTTCTGTTCTCTGTGTTTCTTTTCCTCTTCGAATGTGAATTTACTGTGGTAGGAGTGAAATCTGTAGCCATAGACCAAGATAAGGGGCTGGTAACAGTTTCAGGTGACATTGATCCTGTGCTGCTCTTACAGAAAATTAAAAAAATGGGCAAAGAAGCCAAGCTCTGGTTCTTTCAACAGGGACCTGGCCCCGACTGCTCAACGGAGCAGTCGAAGCGTGCTGAATCTGATAGAAACAATGAAGATGCTAAACAGCAGTTTGATTGGCATTTCCAGCATAAGTGCGTACCGGAGACAATGGCAATGAAGGAACCCGGTTGGGGGCCTCGGAGCTTGCCTGCTATGCCTTCCAATGTTCATGGATATTCGTACTCCCAGAGCATTCCTCGACTCGGATACCGACCAACATGGCCGTATCAGCAGCCAGTTCCCAGCCATAGGCTCATACCACCTCATGGTTACTACTCGCAACCACCTCTGCCACCGCCTCTACCTGCTTATCCTTATTTTCAGCCGCAGTCTCCGCCTCAAGCTAATCCTGTGATGCATTATACTAGCTATGCAGACAATTGGGAGTAGTTTATAGTCTAGTTTAAATAACATTGTGCTAGAGCTTCCCCTCTCTCTCTGTTGCAAACAAATGTCTATGTAATGACAGACAATACTTTTAATGGAAGAAACTAGTGAATTTACATATAGTTGGCTACTATGAGTGATCCTTATTTGGCCTTCCTTACTGGTTTATGTACAGAATTTCAGTCACTATAACTTTTAGCCTCAAAAAGAGCACAACTATGAGCCTGCATTTCATACGTAACAGATTCCACTGTTGGCACCAGCTCACCATCAGACGAGAAAAACCCGGGAAAAGAAAGAGCGGTGTCGATCAGCCTAAACCAGGATGTACCTTCTGAAGGTTCAGGTAAAGCAACATTTATGGATTGGTCAGATGCATTGAAGGCCATAAATATGTCGCTTTGAGGCTCAGGATTCTCGGCGCTCAATCCATTTTCCTCTTTATCAGCCCTCAGCATCACAGCCAGGAATTTGCAAGAAGGATCTTCCCACTGTGGTGGTGATAGGTTGTTTCCATACCAGTCAATGTTTTCTCCCTTCAAAAAGTTTCTGCTCTGGAAAAGGTCGAAACGCCTTGCTCTAAATGAACTAAAAAATGTGATGAATTGTGTGGTTTGAGTACCGAAACCCGTCTTTAGTAAATCCCAATCGAATGGCCTCCTGTCCTTGAATGCAATGGAACCCCCTGAAGATTGGCCACACTCATCTCCCATGTTAAGAACAGGAACACCAAGTGAAACGAACAACACAAATATAAAGTTACGAATTAGTTTGAGTCGTTTTTCTAGAACTTCGATATTACTCGTCGGTCCTTCTTCCCCACAGTTCCAACTCAACTCTGAGGCTAACTTGCTGCTGCTAAAGCTCACAAGGTCGACAAGAGGAAGACCAAAGTTTCTAGCAATGAAGTTGAAAGAGAATGCAGGGCCTCGGCCATCTGAAAATATATCTCCGCTTCCACAAAGCCGGGTTGCAAGGCTACTAACAAGACCTTCTCCCCTGAAAAAGTCCCTTACATCACTACAGAACTTATAATTCACCTCTGCCCATCTCTTCCAATGAGGAAAACGAGTTTCTTTTGATATTGACTCATGTGGATCCCAGAAGTCTGCAATTATTTTAGTTTTCGATAGAAGTGGATCAAAAGCGATCGCTTCTACTAAAGGAGGGCGAGACAACAATTCGCCACGATATCCTCGCAACAAAGAGGAAGCATTTATGAAACAAAAACCATCTATATGAAACTCAGTCACCCAATATCGAAGACTGTCCAAAAGCAGTTGCTGCACCACGGGATAATTGCAATTCAGAGCATTTTTTCCTTCCAAATTTGCGACCCTATTCGTAAAATAGTAAGACGAGTCATCGATCCCTTGCAGTGTTCCATCCTCAGCAGTGTTAGTAAAAACAACTTCCAACATGACCTCTATTCCATTGGCATGGAGTTCTTTCACCATCTCCTTCATGGAGTTGATAGCAGAAATGGAACCCCCAGAAGGACCATAAATGTTTGTAGGTGAGAAGAAGTGAGAGGGAAAATATGGTCCTTCTTTCTCATCAAATGGAAATATTGGCTCTAGTAGAACTGCATTCACTCCCAAGTTTTTAAAATGCAACAACTTCTTAGTCAGACCAGCAAATGTACCAGCAATATCAGTCGTAAGTTGACTTGATTTATCGACAGTAAAACGCTTCACATTCAACCGGTAAGTGAACAATTTCTCCATTGCCAAGTTAGGACGGACTTCGCCATCCCAGTCAAAAGCAGGTACTTTGCATATTTGCCCAAGAAGTTTTGAAGGTAATCCAAGTCCATGACCATGAGTTTTATGGCTAGATGTTGTAAGGACCTTAGCATATGGATCCACAAGAATTCGACTTATCTCGACTCCGTCTTGCTTTTTATGAGACTTGGACCCCTTGCATAGATAACCATAGCTAACGAAATTCGAGACACTTTCAAATGAGACATGCCAAATATTACCCGATCGGTTAATGTATCGATCTAAATCTAGCTCTATTACTGGTTTTTCTGAAGTGCTGTCATTGTACAGACATAAAACTACACTTTCTGCAGAGCTTGAGAAGATGGAAAAATTCATGGAACCATCCCCTGAAATGGAGACACCGAGCGGACTCGGATAACCTCGACCAAACCCAACAGGTACACAAAAGCTAGTCTTCCTATGACTTCTAATTTCAGAGCTGCCTGAATCAACACCCACAGGATGTTTCAACAGAAAAGAAAGGTAGAAAGGAACGTGCTTAGCATCAAACTCTAACTCAACAGCAAATTTTCCTTCAGAAGTATTCACAAAAGGGGTCTCAATGGTCCCAATTGTGTCATCCGGGAGTGAACTCTGAATGTTGGGTGTTACAAGAGCAGAATCAGATCTGTAAACCCCCCAACTAAGCATTGGTGTTTCTTCAATGTTTGCCAGCTGCACGGAAGAAAGTTCTATAGACACCATAAAACCGGACCCTGTCTTTCTAACAAGAACATTCACCAAATCCCCACATTCTGTCCTGAATAGATAAGTTGCAACCTTCTCTTGCTCCTTACTTTTACCACTGATACCAAATCTCCATCCATTTTTCTCAACCGAAATTCCAAATGAAGCATATGCCTTACTAAGGTTGTAACGCGAAGATTTAGCAAAGCCGGCTCTACTTTCTCCATGAGCTAGCATTCTTACCTCATCCCTTTTTCCAGACTGATGCTTTATCATATGTCCATGTGTATGGTGATCACTTGCTGCCAGTCTGAATGCTTCAGTAACTCCAAAATTATGTACATTGTAGGGCTGTACGACAAGTGAAGACGGGAAAGTTGCCATCTGTGGTTGCAAAAGCATCTAACTGAAAAGAAAAGAAAAAAGAATTGTAAAGGAGGAGATCTTCCAAACTGAAATTGCTCATGTTCTGTTCCAAGAAAGCAAAAACTAACCATCAATTTTGTTTCTGGACAATAGCATAACTCCTAGAGTACTAAACACAACAATGTTCATCAAATAAACATAGAGATAGAGGATCATTGTAACAACGGTGCGTTTGGTATGCATTTTAAAGCGTTTATTCAGAGATAAAAGTGTCTTCTAAAGAGTTCTTTTAACCTATTACACACACCTTTTAAAATTTTCGATACTCAAGAAGTGATTTGAATAAATGTTTCTCTTTAAAAGCACTTTTTTCAACAATCATCTCAAAATCACTCTAAATACACTCTAACCCGAGTTGAGTCCCAATCATAATGCCATTTCCTCGTCAATCAATCAATTTCAAATTCGACTTCGTAAATCAAATTAACATACGATTACATAATAATACATAGAAACAGAACTAAATATAACCTAATCCATCCAGTAAAGCTTTGAAAATCAAAATCCCTAATCAGAAATCAAAATTGAGCGACACCCAGATGGCAAAAGCTTAAGAAAATTGCGGAGTTGGAGAATTTGAACTTACAGTTCTTTGATTCTGCTGCGCTGTGGTGAAGGAGATCAGGAACTCTAAGCACCGTAAACTCTGCTTCGTCTTCTCGTGAGGAATCCATTTCTCCATCCTGGTATGCTTTCTGACCGTTGGATTTCCATTATTTTTGTGTTTCTTTGTCCCTTTTTTTCTTCTAATAATTGTGTTTTCTGTCATACTTGAAATGGAAAAATTGTATAAGCCACCCTCTAACCCTATGGTAATTTCGAATTTAAAAAAAAAATTATATATATATATATTAGTATAACAAGTTGGACACGGGTCGATTTTCACATCGCTTAGTATCCATCGTTTACGGCTAGGACTACTGGGGTATCTAATCTCATTCGCTCCCCTAACTTTCGTCTCCCAGTATTAGTGTTGGTCCAGTAGCGGGATTGAACCTTCAACCTCGAAAGAAGTTCTTCGTTTTAATCTTTGAGATTATTTTTTTATTTTTCCATCCTCTTTATCACTTTTGTTATATCATCTTCAAGTAGAACCTTTTTAGGTTTCTCACATTTTCCTAAAAGTAAAAAATACAAAAAAAAAGGGAAATTATTCTTGCGGAGAAGGATTCAGGGATAGAGATTTGAACCATCGACCTAAGGGAAGTAGTAGATGTAACTTATGGCTGAGTTATATGCTACGTGTTCATCCCGAAAATTACTATGATGAGTTCAAGAGTAAGTCAGATAATTTAAACACATTAAGATCTAACGGAAAAAGTGTCTGATCCCCGACAATCTAATCTAAAAGTAAAAGAAATAAAATAAAATAAAGAATATTTATTTAAAAAATTCAATCAATGGAACAATGGTTTGTTAAAAAATATCTAAGAAGTAAATAAATACAATGATTATCAAAATCATGCTAGATATGGATGTCCGATTAACATATCACCCGTCCATCTTCTTGTAGAATCTCAATCAAAGCACTCCCCAAAGAAAATCATTTCCTTCTCGAGATAACTCTTCTTTTGGAATTTCGGGTACTTCCGTCTTAAACACAAGCTTCGACATCAACTGTATGAAGTTTTTACATCTATTCCATGTTTGTTTTCTACTTATCACATCTATTAAGATACACAAGAAGCCAAACATCAAGTGGAGTGTTGATATCAGAAGGGGATAAACAACAGCTTTGGGGGATAGAATACCTCAACATTCCTCTAGTTCTTGGTTTATTAGAATTCTTCAGATACACTTCCACTTCCTCACATCTCTTAGAAAGCCCAAAATCTGCCATCTTCTTGCGGAAACATAAGAACGTTAGTAGGTTTGAGGCAGGTTTGAGGTCAACGTGCACAAACCTCCAACCATGAATGCAAGAAAGCCCTCTCAACATCATTTTGAGATATCATTTCATCTCTTTCTCCGACAGCTTGATATGTTGTTTAATCAAGTTAGCTAAAGTATCTCGAGCAGCGTACTCCAATATGAGATTGCAAGAAATATAATAGAGTGAAGAATCCCCAACTTCTTCTATGATAATCTTTCTCCCAAAACACGATCTCGAGACCCCCGATGAAGTGCTCGAAAGCATATTTTTTTGTTGAAGAGGGAAGAAGAATCTTGAATGGTCGTGGAGATCTCCTTGTTTGATGGGTTTGGCTAAGAACACATCGCCAAAAGGAACCTCCACCTAAAACCTTCAATCGAAGACAACTAGTGGAATTAATTAATGGCTAAAACTCCAAAATGGCGATAACAAAATTAAAGAAAAGCCTTAAGCTTTTAAACCCCTCTTTATTAATATATTTCAAATCCAAATTTGGTTTTATCTTATTGATTCTATTTTATTTCAATTTATGATATTATCAGTACTTTTAAAATTTAAATGGACCATGTTCATTTTGATTTACGTAGTTTCAAAATCTTTATTTTCGTCTCTATACTATCGATTTTTCTTCATTTTAATCTTTACACTTTCGAAATGTCTATTTTGGTTCTCGTATTTTCTAAAAAGGGATTATTTTGGATTCTTTCATTTTTATTTTTATCTGATTTCTTCCGATCACAATTAAATTTTCGTTGTGTATAATAAATTTGTGTTAAAGTTTTGCAAATAGAGACAAAAAGAATATTTTTTAAAAGTACAAAAATTAAAACGGATATTTTGAAAACATATCGGAACTAGAATTGACACAAAGTTGTAAATACATGCTAAAATGAATGCTTTGAAAGTATATGGACCAATGAACTAAAATCGAAAATACGAGACACAAATAATATTTAAACTATAATTTTATCCTTTTTAAAAATATATTATCTCCAATCTTTTTTTTAAAAAAAGCTCCATCCTAGGTAACCAACCACAAATATTTGGAGTGAAGATGCTTCTCTTCTCTTGATTAGTATAATATATATATATATATAATATGTTTTAATAGTTAGTGTTCTCAATTTGAAATAAGGAAGAAAAAAAAACTTAGGTCCTCTAAAGATGTTGGAAGAAAATAATTGAATTGATGAAAATTTTATAATGAAACTTAAAATAATTATGGACGACCCTAAAGATAATGAATATAATTTGAATTTGAATTTGAATTTTACATAAAGTATTCATTTTAATTTTTTGTAAGTAAAAAGCGTTGAAAATTTTCGCCCAAGTTCTAGGGATGCCTTGAGCCGCCTTTAAAATTGTCCAAGTACAAACCTTAACCAAAAAAAAAACCATATATTTTATATATTTAATAATGACAATATTCATAACTCAAAATAATAACCTAATATGTGCAAGGTAAATGTTTATAGAGTTAAAAAAATATTTTTTTTTTCCGTCAACATGAACATATCTTGGCGGGAAAGATGGTAGGTTTAAATTCCGTATTTGTTTTATGTCAAGTTTTATAAAAAAGATAAAATTCAAAATCAATTCAAAATTTTGAAATAAATAGTCAAATTAACCAATATTTGATCAAACTAAACAAAACTGAATAAATTTATATACTCTCCTTTCTAAAAACCAAACTGAACTAAGAAATTATTTCATTTTCATACCAAATATTTGATGTTTTTAGTTCTCAAAGTGTTATTTTGATTTTGTTGCATGAACCTTTTGGTATGAAAAATAAATAATATTGTGAACATATGCATACTCTTTTGCCTTTTTAAAATTATACAAATGCACGTTTGGATACAAAATGTTGATGTACGAATTAAAAAAAAAAATCTTTAGGTCTTTCATTGACACGGCGTATTATTTAATAAAAAGGAAAATTGTCATGCTAGCAAAAATATTTTATGTATTTCAAAATATAGTAATATGTCAGATGTATATCACGTACATATTACACAAACATTCATATCAGATGTATATCACATTTACATTGTAAGTATATCAAACAATCAGTAGTTATATTAGATGAATATCACATACATATATCAATAATATATAGATGCATATCATTTGAATAAAGTTATCATTTTAAAATTGAAACTTCGTTTACATATTTACAATTGCCTCATTTAAAAACGTGCAAAACGAACGGTCATTTAATATATTAATTCTACTCATTATCCAAACGCAAATATTTATTATTCTCAGACATTCAAATCTGAGGTTTTTAACTCCTGGATATATAATATCTTTACCAATTAAACAAAACCCAAGATCCAAACGGGTTGCCAAAGCGAGCATAGCTCAACGGTACTAAAAAATAAAAGATCCGAAAGGCTGTAACAAGACAACGCACTTTCATTATATTTAGTTCTAACAAGCAAAGCATGCGTGTTAAAGTTCTATAATAAAGTACAATTTCACTATTATTGACCAAAGCCTGGCTCTACATCAAAGAGTTGTAAAAGCTCTAATGACATATATATTTTCAGATGAAAATCATGAGTAAAGATGCTTTAGTTGTTTCTAAATCCATAATTACCATTATAAAATATTAACTCAGCCATCCGAATCAGAGCTTTCTTCAGAAGGGAATTTACTACTCCTTTGAGAGTTTCTCTTTGTAGGAACTAGAGGGTTGCTTTCTTCATCATCAATGAGTGCAGTTGGGTCCATTGAGTTGTCCTTGAAAACTGGGTGTACATAAGCATCCTTTAGATACGCTTTCAGGTCTAAATTTGGTTCTGTGGCCCTTTCCAGTGTGTCCTTCACCATTGCATCCTGCCAAAACAGTAGTTTTCTATTTCAATTTCACTCCTATTGCGATGATATATATATATATAAATATATATTTTTTTTTATTTTTTATTTTTGTCTGTTTGTAAAGGTTAGGTATATTGCAAGGAAAAAGTTGGATCACAAAACCTGAGATTAAAGGCATGATACGATCAAATAGATCACGTGACGATAAAAATGCAGCAGGAACATGAACAAGAAAGGCAACAACAAAATAAGACAAAGAATAAACAGCACAAATACCGGAGAGAATACTTCTATCTAATGACTTTAATTAGGAAGATTCTCAAAACTATGTATATATTTTGGAAATATAAAGCAAGGTTTTTGGAGATCTAATTTCATAACATATTGATGAAATTTCTTTCTCTCTCTTCCTTTTTGGGATTTTTAGAACACGTACTAATATATATCATAGAAATTCAAAACATGGAAAACAACATATATAATAAATAATATTTTAAAAGAAGATTGTTATCAGATGTGGTTTTTTCCCATTTTGAGAGGGACAGAGAATAGAAATGCTGAAATTGGTATCAAGATCCCTGACCATGAAGAATCGAAAATATGTAATTGTGTGTTGATATTAAATATGATGATATGGATATTGATGTAATAGGAAGCTTGATTGTTGCAAAGCCTCTTGGCTTTTAAAGAGCATCAAGAGAGATATTAGTAAGAGAAAATACAGATTAGTTAGTAAAATAATCCGAAAAGAAAAGTTTGTAACAGAAGGTGAGACATTAAAATAAATCATTTAACCCAAAAAAGAAGAAAAGAATTAAACNTTTAACTGTGAGTTGGAGCTTTGTTCTCCTGTACCCAGTGGCACTGCCGCCTGTCTCAAGACTCAGACTCGGAAGACATAAAAAATTTTTGGTATTAAGCTCACCGGAAGGTTCAAATTTGAAACCTTTAAGCTGGTATGACTAAAAGGCCCCGAGTCATTGCCAACAGGACTGCCTCTTTCTTAAAACACATTTGAACTCTTAGTCAAATTTCAAAAACAAAAACAAGTTTTTGAAAACGGCCTTTTTTTATTTTTCAAATTTTAGCTTGGATTTTGAAAATATTTTTAAAAAGTACGATGCAAAACAAAGAAATACATAGGTGAAAGTAGTGTTTACAGGTTTAATTTTCACACACAGAAAACTAAAAATAAAATGGTTATCAATTGGAGTCCTAACCATTGCTCATTTGAAGTATTTGTGCATTATAGCCAAACACAAATGTTTGTATAGAGAGTGCACTAAATCATTGAAAAGCATTTAAAAGCATTTTTTGCCAATGATAAAAAACACTCTCGGACGTGTTCTTTATCAGGATTATTTGATAACTGATATGATTATTTGGGTTCCCATGATGCATATATGAATTAAACAGCAGCAAGATGATCTCTCACAAAGATTGAGAAAAGGATTAAAAGATTTCTTGTTACTAACCTGTAAGGGAAACTTGACGAATGCGGATTCAAAACGCCCCTGGCAGAATTTGTGAACCCAGATTGTCAAAATGGGCAGTGCAACGAGGACTGCTGATGACTTCTCAGCATCTCTCATGCTGAACAATCCCATTAGAAGAAGCTGGGATATAAGTAAGCCAATAATCACTCTACGATGAACGTGCGGCCAGAAGGCTGCACCACTCTCATACTTCTGGTTGTATACATTAATGATCTGAAGAATATAAGCGTCGTAAGCACCATCAAACAGTAGAATTCATTGGATACTATATTCTAAACTTTGTTCAAACTGTATTCAGAATCTAAGGTCATGTTTACTTTCAGAGAATGAGAATCAAACAATAGGAATGAATTTTTCATTCACTCTCGTAGTATTTACCAAGTCGTAGGAATGAAATCAAATTGTGGTTTCACCTCAAATTTAGGAATCGTCAATCTCATTTCTCTCCTATATATCTATCAACCCCATTTTCATTCCTTATCCCGTGGACCCCACACATTTATTAGAATTACTTTACTATTTTTACTCTTTCTCTCTCTATCAATGATAATTATAACTTTGTTAATTAATTATTTATAAATTATATCCTTTTTCATTTCTACTACTAATATTTTTTCTTCTAATACAAATTTATACAACTTTTATTGGTTGGTATGATTTTATTATAAAATATTATCAAATTTGTATTTAATTTTTAATATTTTTTACTTTGTTATTATTAATTAATATCAATAGATTTTTTAAAATATAATTTATTGTTATTAAATATTAGAATAATAAAATTTAATAATATTTTATATTAAATGATAGTTTTTCTAATAAGAGTAATCTAAGGCATCGCCTTTAATTTCAAATTATATATCTAAGGCACCGCCTTTAATTTCAAAATTATATTGGCAATAGATTCTTAATCATCAGAACTGCAAAATAAACTCATGCATGCTCTATTAATCAGGTGTACGTGAAAAAGAGGGGCAGAAAAAGCTCCTATTTATTTACAAATTTCTAAATTAAAATCTTGCATCAGACTCGCAAAAAAATGGGAAAAAGAAAAAAGAAAAACCACACCAGAGGGGATGGATTATTTTCATTAATCCCATTGGTCTGCAGAAGCCATAAGTATACTCAATTTGTTGCCAATGACAAACCAAAACTATGTAATATAACCAGATAAATTAAACTCACTATTTTCTTCATGAATTTGTAAACCTCTTTAAAGTGAGTTCACCAGATTATAAAGCATCAAAGAAGTTAAAAACCATAAGCTAATTCCAAGGAAACCTTATTGAAGCAATATAAATTCTAATTTGCAGCTCTTGTTGTCTATTAAAAACGAGAATATGATAGCCAATAATTTAGAAAACTCACCTGATGACGATAAACCAGGTAGGAGAAAGCAAAGAAGACAATGATGAAAGGGAGCAGTATTGGCGTGACAACTGAATACACAAACCCCAGCAAGATATAAAGCTGTATTCTAGGTTCAGATATGGCAAATTCCACGCAACCAGGATCCATTGCTTGATCCCTATCTTGGTCTGTCTTAACTAAAAATGTATTCTTCAAGTGGAACATGGCCAGTGGAACCAATCTGAGAATCTCTGCAGCAATTCCAGCCCAACCATCAACCATTACATAAGTAATGAAAAATGTAGCTTTCATTGGAATGGAGTCCCCAACAGTTTTTGCGAACCTGCAAAAGCAGAATGAATTGAGGCATCATGTTGGCGTGTCCCCTGTATGTTAGAAACAGTACGAAAGTGAACCATTTTAGCATTATGGATTCTTTCAAGATATTATTTTACATGCCTAAAAAGAATATTCAGTTTGGAAACAAACAAATGACAATGTGAAAGTGCATGGCATATATGGCACAACAATTTTTTACATCAAATCTTTTAGTTAGGCTCATCCTAAACTGTGTCTTGTTGAGTTAACTTTGATCCATGTATAGTTTGTGGTAACATTACATTCGCTATTCTTTAAAAAATTTTAAGGCAGGAAATATTTCTTTGATAATCATGTAAATTTGTGATATTCTTGACCATTATTAGAAAAATTTGTTTCTGTAATACAAAGAGTTGTCCTATGACAACTTGTGCGGAACATTAGCAAAATTTCCTGAGATGAAAGCAGAACATACTCTGTTGAGGGCTCGTCAACGAACTTCTTAAGCTGCTGAAATGCTGTTCCAGTTACAACGCTTCCAAGAAACACATTGACCAGAATGAACAGATGATACTTCTCAGCCGATCTCCTATCTAACGCTGAGAGGGATGTGAAACCTTCGATTTGTGACATGGTCATGAGAATTTTTGGGAGAAGAATTAGGAAAATCTTTAAAGCAATTCCGGGAAGAAATCCTTGGATGACAGACTTTATAACCTTCCTGCAACAAATGTTTCCAGTGTTTGAAACTTTAACTGTTAGGCCATAACTGCCACCACAATAGCATATCTACCTGTTGCACGAAGTTTGAGAGAAGGTAATAAATTGTCATATAGTTTTTATATACATGTTAAAGCCTATAGTTCACTGTAAACAATGGGGAACTGCCTGGCCTGTGTTATTATAAATTGCAGTTGCATTTTTTGACTCTGAGAAGCTTGAATACTGAATAGTATTAAGAATTAAACATATTAAACAGGAAAAATTTCTGCGGCTAGAAGGTAATAAATGTAGAAAGTACTTACTTCTCAATTATGGGCTTCAAGAATGGAAAGACCTTCATAATTCCTTCTATGTTTGCCAAAGATTGAACAAAAGCTATGGGTATCATAAAGAAAAAGGTGAGAAGGAATAGAGCAACTGCCATGAGCAATCTTCGTACTGCAAGTTTTACATATGGAATAGCAAGATTATCCCAAAAGATGTCACGTGGTTCAGGAGCCCATTCTGTCAACCAAATTGTAGGGTTACTGGACTGCTGCGTTTGAGCACATACAGCTGCTCCCCAACGTGTCTTAAATGATACAAATGCTGCAGGAATTATAGCATTGGGATCACTTACAACTTTCTCTCTTTCTATATCTTCCTGCACCGAAAATAACATCTTAGACACCAAGAAAGTTCGGTTACGAAAAGAATTCATGTTAAGCAAAGAATGCAGCATCAATATTTGCTTAAAACTGGTGCAACATGTGAAAGTTCTTCGATTAAAGACAGATTATTGATTGCACGAGACCTGAATAATGACCACTTATGCAGGAAAAACAATGATTTGAAAAGAAGAAAAATAAAGTTATACTGCATCATCTTTTTTTTTTTTTTTCCTTTCTTTGCTTTCTATCCTTTTTTCTCCCTTTTTTATTTTGGGGGAATCGGGGGCAGGGATACTAAACATATTGTAGAGAGACCTTTCAAGATACATAGGTGATTTGACAACTCAGTTTGCATATATGTTCCTCATTTCCTTTTGTGTGTGTGGTGTACAATCTTTCCCATGATTAATAATGTTGATCGTTGCGAAAATATGTCACATCTTCAAAGAAAGGACTCGTAAAAGTAAATGGAGGACCTATAAACCAAGTGCTAGCCTTTTCAGCTACAATCCAATGAAGGAAGCAAAGGTATTAACAAAAACATGGACAATAATAGAAGTTTTGACGTGATGCAAAAATAAGTTAAAATGAAACAGATGATATATGAGGAACTGAAAGAAAGCTCATTAAAGATGTGATTGAAATTTTATATGTTATTTTTCACTCACTTCTTTACTTAACTTCTCGACCTCGGCAGTATAATGATCAATTGCATCCACCTTGCTTCCCCACAATCCCCAGAAACCTGTCTATGAATGCAATTCACTTCTTACAGGTTACTGAAAGTCTTGACGAGAAAATTCAGGAAGGCAAGAGACTTAGAGTTTTACATGTAAAGAAAAATACCTTTGTAGTGGGCCTTTCATTAGGATTTCTCTCATATTTGTTCTCATAGTATACGAGCCAATTCTGTACACTCTTCTTCTTTTCAACCAACTTTGCAAGGTAATTTGCATTATAAACAAGCTGCAGTAAAGAAGAAATAAATAAATAAAGTTGTTGTGAAACTCGAAAGTCAAAAGCTTGGAGGAGAGACAATCATATTTGGAGAATCCAGCACGAGCACCCATGTTGCTGCATTTATTATATATATCAAAGGTGAAAACTAATATGACTACACAATTCCTTTCTATGTTGATATTGCAACATCATAAACTTATTTTTCTTCACAACATTAATATTTTAGTGGAATTTTGCATACTATTTATCAGGGTAAAGTTTCATACCTGATGCGATAGATAGTGATCGGGGTGATTTACACAAAAGAAATGTTCAATGTGCTCACTAACTGATTCGTCGGGATCTAAAGGAACATTCCTCAGAAGGACCTGAAAAGGAACTTAAAATTGAGTTATCAACAAAAAAACATTACCAAATTACTAATTAAAACAAAAGGAGCATCGATGCAAGCATATTCAGATCACTTCAATCGTGTATTTAAAACATAATAATGTTTAGAATTGACATGAAAGAAACAGGAGTACTCGAGGAGAAACAATATAATATTGGTATTTGAAATCTTCTTTAGTCACACCAATAAATAGATGCAATTTCACATTTCCACAACAGAATTTTAAATTGCCTGTTTTCAGTTTGGACAATTACATATTCTACCCTTATAGTGTTTGTAAAATCTGCAAATAGTACTTGTATTTTAAAAATTATTTAATCACCCGCTTGAATTTGCAGAATCAGAAAATCATGCTGTTGTGCTGAGCATAAGAACAAATAAGTTATATGATCTTCGTCAAGATCCACCTAAATCCACCTATGCAGATAGGTGATTAAGCTTCAATGCATGTAATGAGCACAAGTGTTGTATAAATGTATTTTCTTCCCCTTCCGGAGAATATAATGTTGAGAAAAAGGACATCACAAATGGACAAAAGTATACAAACTGGAACTCACTGTAAATTGATCTGGGCGACGTTTTTGAGATGCTAAAAATCGTAGCCTCATGGAAGCTATAATCTTGTACTCCTTGTACAAGATGTAATACGTCCAAAATGAGAAGATGTAAAACATGCCTAGATGCACCCAAAATCTGGAAGAGAATGTAGCGTAAGAGCCTTGAAAGCAAGAAACTTAAATTGATACCTATCCTAAGGACATCATATCAAGATTATTAAACTATACTTCAAAAAATTGAACCATCGAATATTAAGTTAGCAGAGCAAAGATATTGCCAATAATACGATGAAGAACTACTATAAGCTAGAGTTGGAAAACTAAAAGTAACATTCAAGGAGCTTCCTCTATAGGACATGGAAAATAAAATTTCCCAAGGGTGTTTTATTTAAAACGGTGGGTTAAAGGTCCTTCAGTAGTTTCATAAAAAGGATGGGACAGTTTTTTCTGTAGAGGTCAAATAGAGATATCGAAATGTCTTAACATTGTTGTAAATAAAAATTCAAGAAACGTGATTATCGGGATTGATAACTGTACTTTGGGACTATTCACAATAATTCTTACAATATGGTCAATTTAGTGCTTCAGAAAATGATAGTTACTCTCTGGCAACCGCCAAGGAAAGAAGTGGAAACAGATAAAAAGAGAAAAACCTTTTTGATCCTGGAGGAATGTTGGATATTGAGAGCTTGTCGATATCACTGTATGTCAAGCCCTTGACACGCTCTAAAGTGTCTCCAGTCCAATTGACAGGCACCAAAACAGCAAAAGCAAGAAAAGTTATGGGGACAAATATCTTCAAGCTGCATATATGTATTGTTAAATCCATTATCCTTCCACAACGTGAAATGTAATATAATATGCAGCAGTACAAACTACATCACATATAAGCTTCTTCTCCAATGATCTACAATATTACTGAACATCAGAATATACTGAACTCTAGTCCTGTTAGTGTACACAGCCGAAATTTCAACTCACCCGAGAAGGTAAATTCGAACAAACACAGCAGAATCAAGTCCCGCATGTTCAATGAGCTCAGGTTCTGGCATTTTCAATGCCGCAGGCATCCAATTTAGAAACCTCATATACATATTGAAATCCAAGTTGACAACATTGCCCACATGTCCTGAGCGTCTGGGACTGCCCCTTATTCCCTTAAGATACCACTTGGGAAAGTATACTCGATCATTGATTGGTTGAAGCCGCAATAGACCAAATGCCACAAGAAATGCCAATGCAGAGAGAAGGTTGATTGCTGCAGAAACACCTATGTCTTGAAGACTGGCCATTTATCCCCTTGATCGTTGATCTCCTGATTTTTTTTACCAGAAGTACATGATAAACAATCTCAATTTTGATTCCCACACTAAATTCGGTACTACCATTTTTGTTAGCTCTGATGCTGGTTCATGAAATTATTCATATTGACCACTGAGCGAAGAAACAAATTTGTCTTTTAATTTACAGTTCGAAAACATGCTATCCGTTGTTTCTATTTCAGCAAAACCAGACTAAAAACTCCTCTAAACCAAATTTTCCAAGTTTCACATTTTCATCTCCACGCCTTTTTAATCTCACATAATAGAGGATACGCCGGAAAAAGAAAGAACATACACACATGAAAGAGTTATCACAAGGACGACGTTAAAAAGTACTGGTCGTTGAATTTCGGTTGAGTGAAAAATCAATAAAAAGCCTAAATGCAAAAACAATTTGAGATCCATCGTCCAACGTTTGGCTATTGTTAAAATATATAAAAAGCAATACGAAATGAGGATTTCCACAGCCTGCATATTCACGTCCTACAGCAACTTTCCAATCGATTCCGAACATTTTCTCAGGAAATTAAACAAACGGAAATACTCGGCAAAAACGAATACGAAAACAGAGGGAAATGGCGGAAACAAACCTTTCAGCGGTTGTATATTGGATTGTAAGAAATTGATATTCCGAAAAGGAGCTCGATCCGGGGAGCAATGGCGGAAGGGGAGATGAAGAAGCAAACCAATGAAATTGGGGGATTTTTTTGTTTTGTTTTTTGGGACCAAAATGAGCTCGAAATCCGAAAGCGGTTATAATTTAGAATGGCTTTGGCTTCAACAGCTCGGAATCGGATCAGAGTGCGTCCGCATGGGATCGTTATGCTCGCGCTATTTATATAATCGTACCGTTATGGACGTGACGAATGTTTGAATTTCCTTTATGACCATTTTACCCTTCCTGCCATTTATTTCATTTTTTATTTTTTCCTTCTACAGATACTAGCATTACTTTTTTTCTATTTTCTACCTCGACTTTGTTATTTATTTGATTCGTCAGGGATTTATTTGATTCTCTTACCTAAGCTTTTTCGTGGGAAATTGACTCAAATAACCCTCTCAAGTTTTCAATGTACTCAAATACCCGACCTCTAAAAAATTGTTTTGAATGACCCAAATCAACTTTTTCAGACTTGTCAATGGAAGTAAATGTACCAAACTACCTCTCAATTGCAGCCTAAATTCTCGGGCTAAAACGCGTGTTTCCCGCCCGAAAGTGTGAAAAATGATAATGTATAGGCTGTTGATGGGCGAGTATTGATGTATCATTGCAATAAATTCACTGGCGAAATCGTATGTTTCCTGCCCGAAAACTGATTAAAAATGATAATGTTGGGTTGTTTATGGACGAGAATTGGTGAGAAATGAGGTTGACTTACAACGAATTCCCAATCGTTAACTGGTATTATTCCGCCCGAGAATTTAAGGTTTTTCAATTAATGCAGACAACCAACTCTCCCACACGTTTATTGTTCATCAAACCAGTCTTCTTCATCTATGCACTTCGTACTCAGCTTTGCATATAACAAAAAGAATATTGTACCTTGAAAGTAACTCTTCCATCTGACCACGCAGTTTGTTTGTAGATGAATAAAATTTCAACACCAACGAGGTAGGTGAAATTTCCTTTACAAAGAAAATGTTCCTTTTTGGTATGAAGCCGCACATTTGTATGTTTGTCATTTTGTTTTTTGTTTATCTGGAAACGTGGAGTGCAATTGTATTTTTTCTTTCTCCTTTGAGAACGACATGTTTGGGGCATATTCTCTGTATTTTTGCATGATTCTCGRGCGAAGATATAGTTATTCATGGCCGAAGACCATATAAATAAGATTTTCGAGCGAGAATCATATTGTATTCGGGGCGTGAATTCTCGCCCGCAAATCAAGAACTTTCGCTCGAGAATTTCCACATTTTGAATGCTTCTCTTTCTACATGCAGGATGTCTTGTCTATTTGTTACCTATGGTGGTAGGTGGAATGAGTCACAATTTGTATATGAAGGTGGAATTATGGGAGGTTTGGATGTGGACGACTGTATAACTTATGATGAGCTCCTTAGTGCTATTTCAGCCTTACCCGAATAGATCTGGATCGGTTCAAAATCTTGATACATTGTGTATATAAGTTCAATTTGCAGTACCAGGTTTCGAAGTATTACATCTTTGATAACCATAGCCTTAGATTTTTTTTAAGAAGCCCTCCACATCCCTCCGAAGTCCTATTGTATGTATTTGTCGTACCGAAGGAAATACATGGCAGTGGAAGCAGTTCAATGAATCTTAAAATTCCAGAAGCAGAAGCATTCCAATAATTTCCCCACTAGTTAGGACAGACCGTTCCATATTATGGGCATCACTTCCTCTTGATTCCACACTCTCAGACCCATCATGTTTTATCCCATCAATAACACCGCTGACGGACAATGTAGTCTCATGTAACTTGGGTGACGATGAAACAATCTATTGCGGTCAATGGGACGATAACGATGAGAACGACATGAAGTATGAGGCCGAGGATTATGACAACCACGATATTGAATTTGACGATGATGTTGATTTTGACAACGAGAACGAAATAGACCCAATGGATGTAGCCGGTCCATCATCGGACCCCTAAATCGAAGTGCACATGGTTAGTACAAATGCACCGAGCAACTGGTCAAGCTTCTTGCTCAAGGGAAATTGTTAGGACAAGTGATAAAATTGGTTTGTCAACGGAGGACATTGCGATAGGGAGTACTTTTCGATCGAAAGAAGATTTGCAGTTCAAACTCTCGGTTTACGCAATAAAGATGAATTTTAAATATCGCGTGAAGAAGTCGACAAAGAGTTTGTACACTGTCGGATGCACCTAGGATGTGTGCAAATGAAACCTGTGTTCAAGGAAAATTATAGGATCGGATACTTTTCTTATCTCTACATTCTACGAGGTACATAGCTGCACTCGTGAGGTAATGAAACATGACCACCGACAAGCTCGAAGTCGTGTGGTGGGTCAGATTATAAAGTCCAACTTTGAGGATGTAAGTCGTCGTTATAGACCGAATGATATTGTTAATGACATGCAGAAAAATTATGGCATTAACATCCGATATGAAAAGGCGTAGTATGCGAGAGAAATGACCTTGGAACTACTAATGGGATCGCCAAAGAAGTCGTATACTCTTTTGCGTAAATACGGTGAGGCATTGAAATCGGTGAACTTGAGCACGATATTTTCATTCAAGTTGAAGGATGATAAATATTTCCAATATGCATTCATGACCCTAAGTTATTCTATCAGGGGGGTTTAGAAGTTGCATTTGTGTCGTACTTGTCATCGAAGATGCACATCTCAAGAGAAAATATAGAAGTGTGATATTGATAGCCTCCTCTATTGATGGTAATAATCAGATATATCGACTTGCATTTGGAATCGTAGACAAGGAAACACACAACTCATGAATTTGGTTCTTGGAGCGAGTGAAGAGTTGTATTGGAGACGTTGAAGGATTGATTTTCGTGTCTGACCGGCATCAAACTATGAATAACTCTTAGCCTCTGTATTCCCCACTGCTGAACACGTCAGTTGCATGCATCACATGTAGATGAACTTGAATGATAAGTTTAAGATTAGGAGCAAGGGCATGGAATAGTTATACCTCCTAGCAGCCAAGGCGTTCAAGAAGTCTACCTTTAGGTATTACTGGAATAAGCTTACGGGATTCCCAGAAGTGCGAAAGTACTTGGAGGAACTCGGGTTCGATAAATGGTCACACGCATATCAACCTGGGTTGAGGTACAACCAGATGACGACAAACATTGCAGAGTCCATGAATGCAGTTCTAGTGCACACGCGATCATTGTCTGTCACTGTACTATTAGAACATTGTATGACTCTTCTACAACGATGGTTTTACGAGCGGCGGACATASGCATCAATAAGAGCATCCATTCTCTGATTATACTGAGGAGATTGTTAAGGGTGCGGTGGAGCAGGCCTGACGACACACGATTAGACCGATTGATAATTACGAGTACGAGGTACACGATGGTAGCAGTAAAGTGCGTATGAACCTAAGCAGTAAGAGTTGAACGTGTAAGTAGTTTGACTACTACCAGATCCCGTGCTCCCACGTTGTGTTCGCCAAAGTATAAATTAGAAACGCTTCTTAATGTGTACGCCAAACCAATCTACCCATTGGATGATGAAGAAGACTGACATTTACCCAACGACTTTGTTGAGTACACCATTGAGCCTCCAAAGTTCGTTGCGAGAGTTGGAAGACGGCAAACGGTACGGATACCTTCGACAGGTGAGCCTCAACATATACATAAATGCAGCAGGTGTGAATCCAATGACATAATAGGAAAAATTGCCGCCAACCATTACGAACAACCGAGTTTTAGTTTGACGTATGCCTTACTTATATCCATTTACTTGCTTTTTTGTGTGCTGGGAAACAATTCATCATATATTAGGGCGAAATCTTGATAAAATTGTATCTAACTTAACCGAATTTGGGTGAGAATTATTGCTGTTTTCGGGCGAGATGTTGGTATTCTCTCCCGTGAAATATTACACTGAACACCATTCCTGTACATTGTAGGGCTTTTCGGGCGAAATCTTATTACTCTCGCCCGTGAACTATTCCAGTGATTTCCACTGCATTCACTGAAATATTATTCGGCCGAGAATAGCCCAATTTCGCCCGAAAAAAGTTCATACTAGGCAATTTTCGTGTGAAATATGAATAGTCAATGTTGTATTGGATTACAAAGTTGGCGTGCACAATTGGTACAGTGAATTAGATTGCCTTTTTAACATATTAGTCTTATAGAAAGCAAGATAAATAATTAAATTGGATTCATAAAATAATGTCATAATGCCTAATGCTAATATTTAAATTGTATTCAAAATATTGATCGGTTGGCCCACATCTCTATGGCTAATTTCTCCCTAAACAAACTAATGTTGTCCTGAGTTAAGCTAGTCATATTTTACCCTGTTACATCATAATCAAAATAGTTAACGCAAAACATCCTGCAGTCATCAGACCCACTCTGCTGGGGTGCTGACGTTACCTGCCGAACGTGTCATGGTACATTCGGTAATGGAACACCGGCCCTGTGCATCAATGCGGGTAGGATCTAGCAACGGTCATGAGCTAGCAACGGTGTCATTGACCTCATGGAATCCCACACAATGATCTCACCCTCCTGCAGATCAATGCTAAGCATAATCCAATGGATGCCACTGATGTCGTACAACAGGTAAACAACATCCAGATCAAGCCATCGTGTCTGATAGTCGGGGAGTCTCTCATCTATGTAGTTTAGGATGGTCCTACACTTGCCAACCCAATCGTATTCCACTGCAACTTTTGCAGGTACTGCTTTCGGGGCCGTCATGCGTTTGTATAATCCGCTTGTTCGTCGAAGAAAGTTATGCAATGACGATGAATTTCGATTAGCACATGAATTTGTACGTACGGGCAGAGTATAAGATATATATATTACGTACCGCAAGGACGATGTCACCGGTGGTGAACCTTCGACAACAAGTCTTATCGTTGCTCGAGTTTGTTCCGCGTGAACATGATCAACGAATCAATCACCTATATAAGTTATTATTGTCAGAAGAAAAATAAATAATAGTACAACACATATTTAGGATTTCGAACTCGTACCTCACTCGTCATCCACTTGTCCGGGGTGATGTCACGAAACCATGTCTTTCCCCAATTATCGTAACATGATTTGCGAGTGGCACGGTTGGTCTTAGGGTTGGTCATCCAAGCATGAAAT